ACAAAATCTGACAGAAAAATATAAACAGAATTTTTAAAAGAGAATCAATAGTGAATTTTTCTACAGCATATTTGCGTCTTGCTATTGGGAACTGATGTACATAAAAAAATATATTTGTTATTTTTTTCATCCATGATGAATGCCAGATTTACACTTATATAAATACGTATAAGTACTTAATTAAACTTTATATATTTTACAGAAACTTTACCAAGTATAGAGAATAATGATTGAAAATTATGTGCATGTAGAGTTACGTTTCATTCAATGACAAGAAGAAAATAAGAATGTTAAAAATTTTTAGAAGAATTTAAATGAAAAACTAAATTCCGGTGTTTTACGTGTTTACATTCATATATCGCTATTAGATTTTTTCGTGTGTCATTGTCGAAACAATACATGTCATGTGTGTTTACACATATATAGTGACATGTTCCCCTATCGCATAAACTTGAACGCAGAAAGCTATGTAAACGTATACATGAAAATTCGCTGAAAGGAAAGAAACAAATGTAAAAGAAGAGTATTACGTATATATTACGTGTATTTTTATATTTAAAATCTGTGAATTTCGATAGAAAATAATAAAATGGAAAAAGAAAAAATAAAAAAAATATAAATGCTAAAATATACATGAATGAAAAATTTTTTCAAGAAATAATGGAAACATTACATGGAAATGATTCTAATTACATGATCTATTTCTGTTCCGAACATCTATTTCGATTTTATTTATGATGTATAAAAGTAAATGTACGTATATGAATATATATATATATATATAAATATTATTATTACGTAAAGAGAAAACAATTCGAAATGATTAAAGATATTTATAAATCTTTGCTTTCTTTTTCTTTTTTCTTCTATGCTAAGAAAAAAAGGTGTATGTATCTTCATATTTCATATATTTGTTGTTGCAGATTAAATTTCAATTTTTGTATTTAAGTTACAGATTTGATTAAATTTTCAACAATTATTTTGACTATTCTAATATTTTTTTTTTTTTCGATATTTTTTTTCTTGCTTATGTTTTTTCATTTCATAGTTTTCTTACTTCCAATGTTAATTCTGTAAATAGTAATAAAATTATATGATGAACAAATTTGAGTTATATAGAACAGCAGTAATACAATGATAGGTTGATCCGAAAAAAGAAACTTAGCATTCTTTTAACTCTTTGTACTATTCTCACCTTTGGTATTTATTAGTCAATTATCATCGCTAGTCAATAAAAAGGGAAAAAATAAGTAAACTCAAGGAAAGAAAAAAAGAAAAATGAAAAAATGGAAAGTAAACGACGAAATGAAAGAAAAGAAAATAATACATTAGGATTTTGTCTAGTCAGGTCGAAAGAGGAAAATATTCAGATATCATATCTCTTTGAAAGTATGTAAACATCTGTATATATAATATATGTATGTATATATAATATATGTAGAGGGATACACATCAACATATGTATATATATGTACACACAGAAAGTCCTATAATGTGCCTTTATAGATCCCATTAAATGAATGAGAGAAAAGAAGGGAAAACCAAGAAAAAAAATATGTATCTACATTTTGTATAAATAGAAGAACTTAAATATTTTAAAATGTGTCATAGGTATTAATGTGTCACAGCTATTAATGTAAAGAAAAAATTACAATCATAATATACAATTAATACTTTAACAGCTTGAATATATACACATCATAAAATTTGTTTTTTTTAATTTAAGGTTAAAATAAATTTATATATATATATTGTTTTTATTATTATTTTTTTTTTTAATATTTATTCTAATCTCTCTTTTATAATACGATAAACATGTAATATTTTAAATATCTTTTAAATGTGTTATCATTAAAAATTCGTAATTGAAATTCAAAAAGCATAATCGATAATGATAATACGTAATATGTCAAGTTTTGAATAATGTAATTTATTTTTAATTCGATTATTTATTTATTATAATAAGTGTTATATTCTTCTTTTAATAAATATTTAAACTATTTTATTCTAATATTATGTTATACCTGCTATTATTATATTAATTTGAAAGTTAATTGTATTTTTTATAATTTAATAAAATTTTTAAAATTTAATAATTTTAATATTATTTATCATTAACTTGATTTCAGATAGTAAGTTTATTCTATAAATAGTTTTTTTTTAACTATAATAATTTTTGTTCAACGGTCTAAATCAACTAATACAAATTAGTGAAATTTCAATCCTGGTTTACCCTGCCTTATATAAAGTAAGATAAAATGAAAAAGATGTGTATATATATATACATAATGTACACGTATGCATATGTATGTGTTTAAAACTCATTTGACATTCACACACAATGCGCAAGATTTTTCAATCAAGTTATAGGCTTCTCCCATGATTGTAAAAGAGAATTAAAAAAAGGAAAAATAAAAGAATACGAAACGGAAGCAAAACAGCAGAAATAAACATTGTTTATAAACTGTGCACAACTATATTTTTTTTCTTTCCATTTCATTTTTACGTTTCTGCCTTCCCATCCGTATCTCTCTTTCTTCCCCTCTGTAGTAGATGAAATTGTAAAATTTGTAACGAGAAATTGGCTGTGTCGCAATATAGATGCAATTTTTTTAACGAACTTATAAATTGAATATTAGAGAATGTAAGTTATGCTTGCTGGGTTTTATTCATTCCCAAAACAAAAATGAACTATAAAAAAAGTTAATATCCATAATTTCACATTTTAATTTTTTGTTGAAGATTTTTTTACAAAATTGAAGATCATTTTTAAAGAAAAATGAAAAGCAGAGTAGGGAATCTTGCAAATCAAAATATTGAGAAATAACAAAATTATTGAGAATAAATGGATCATGTAAATATCAATTCGTGAATTATATTTCGATATTAAAATTTCTGTATCACATATTCGACGATATCTCATAATACTTTGCATATTTCTTTGCAATCTTTGATTTCTTTGTTTTATCAAGTTGCAATTAAAACTGTTTGATTTTTGCTTTATCAAATTGCAATTAAAACTGTTTGTTTGAAGAATATTAATGAATAAAATGAAGAAATTGAAGAACGGATAACGATAATTAAATCGGTTATCATCGAAGACTAGATATAATAGCAAATACATACAAATTTGATACCATAATAACTTGATAGACTTTGTTAAATTATTCTGCTTAGTAATTTTTAAATTATTATATAGAGTGGAGTTAATATTCATGGAACATTTTTGAAAGATTGATTCTAAAGACCAAAACAGAATTTTACAGTGGTATATTATATTTTCATTTGCTCAATATAAATATTTCCAATTACTTATAACTTAATAAATAAGTTTTAATCGATTATTTTGCATATTACTATTTTGTGTATTAATTTTTATATTTATTTTAATTTCTAAAATTGACTTTTCAAAAATAAATATATTAATATCTTGTTTAGAATGTTCATATCATAATATCATATCTGTATTTTGACATAAAATACAGAAAATTGTGCCAGGATAAAAAAATGTTTGGTTTAGAATGATTGTAGTTTCTAATTTCTTTGCAAAATCATTTTCATCTGTGATATTAGATTATTAATATTTTTTGCATATTATGACAACAGACAAATTTAATATCTTATGACACAAAGATTTTGAAATGAATGAACAATTCAAATGATAATTCAAAAATTTAAATAGTAATTCAAATAAAGTTTAGAAATTGAACATTCTTTGTTTTCTGTGTAAATGTTTATTCATTTATCAAATATTCAAAATGATTTCCATTACTTCAAGGCATTTTCGCTTAATGCAAAGCCATATACATTTCAGATACAATTTTATATGAGGAAATTTTTTAATGTTTTTTATTGATATCTGTAAATATATTATTAACATTTCAAAACATTGACAAATTTATGAGTATAATGATAATCTTCATGTAAGTCAATATTTAGTTGTATTTAGAAACATCAAATAAGTATAGAAAAAAAAAAATAGAAATAATGTGTTAATTTAAGAGAAAATAGAATAATAATTTTTTTCATTTAAGATTATTTCAAAATTGATTTCGTCCTGATATTTACTATGATGTTGCATTATAAAAAAATATATATTAATATTAATGAAAAAAAATATTGATAACCTTGAAAATCATAGAAATGATTGGAAAAAAAATCACGAATCACTATTATATTCATCATTTCAAATATTTGTTTTGATATAATTTTTAATAAAAATAATAAAAATATAATATACTATAGAATGAATTATAATCACTTCAAATAATTCGTAAATTATTTGTTATAAAAAAATATTTTAGATAAAAATTATATAATATAAAAAAAGAAATAATTTAATATTTATTAATTTTTTATAAATAAATATATAATTATATAAAATTCTTCATGTTACGAATTTTAATAAGTTTGTTTTTATTTTATTCATGTTTTCTTAAACGAAAGTTTCAGAATTAAATAAAATTATTTTTATTTAATTTTTATTATTTTATATTTCGTAAGATTTATCATATGAAAGATAAGAAGTACATACGAAGTAATGTACTTTTTTCTTCATACTTTCATATCGTTTCTTTTATGTCAAAGGCACGAATATGTAATTCGATAACTTGTGGAAGATTATGGTTCAAATATGAAATATAAAAATCATTATCGATATTAACATTTTTGAGATGTACTATTTATTTCAAAGTTCAATTTGATTATAAAACATTGTTTTATCATTGTAAATTTAAAGTTAAGTATAAAATTTTATTTACTGAAACAAACAATTTATACATTCATGTCTTTAATATATCTGAAATAATTTTTTGTTATAAATAGCTTAATAGTTTTCTATAACGAATAATAATTTGTATCGATCAGTTTTTTTTTATTAAAAAATAATATAATTCTATTTAAAAAAATAAATTTGACTTTTATATATTCTTCAAATATTTCTTTGCAAAAAAAAAATTCAAATTTTATCACGTTATACAAAATGTGATTTTAATATGAAACATTTTTTTATAAAACGAATAATTTAGGAAATTATTTAATAAATAGTCATATTACAAAACTCATCATATATAATAAAATTATTTTTCAATTATAGAAATATATATATATATATATGTACATATATATTATATATAAAAGTTTTAATATCATTTTACATTTTTTTTTTATTACATAATAAGTATTGACATTTAACTAATGTTTGTAAAGTTTATAATTGAATAAATAAGCTCACGATAAAAAAAATGAATGATATATAAATAAATCATTTTAGTATCAATAAACTTGAAATCTAAAAGATTTCAAAATATTCTAATAATCCACCATTAGTAAAATTACATATTTACTTTTTACATATATACATTTAAAATTATACTTTTTATTTATTTTTAAAATCTTTAATGATATTTTTTTAGTTTTCTGCAATCTAAAAAATAGGAATTAATAATTATTTTATTATATGTACATAATATTACTATTATACTAGTATATTCCTCGTGATAAAATATATTAATAAAATATAATACATATATAATAAAAAATTGAAGACAAATAAAAAGCAAATTATGAAATACATACAAATGTAATACCCAAAAATTGATCGAATATCTTAAACAGTGCCTCGTAGTTTAAATTTTCTTGATCATGTTCCAAGAAAAATTGTACTTACCCAAATATCTCTGAATAATCTCCTACAATGGCACGTTTTGAAGCGTGGCCTACGCCAATCTTGCTCGAAATATCCAAATATTTTTATTAGAGGTGAACGATGCCGGTGGAAAGAGGGTGGACAATTTTCACGGTCGTTCAGCAATCGTTTTCAGTCTCCCCCCTCCCTCCTCCTTTTTCACAAACAGCGAAAACGCATAAACGACGGCAGCATTTATTAGACGCATTATTTAGGTAGTGGTCGATGTGCATGCCTGGAGGAGCCGGTCAATGCGGCATTGCCGTATAAAAGGACGGATTACACGGTGTCCATTTCAGGGTGTACAAGAAACTGGTGTTTGCGGTAAGTCTTCCAGTCCGGAGAGAACCTGGCCCTTGGCCGTGTACAGTGTACGGTCGTGGCATTATCTTCGCTGTTTTGCCGATTCAATTGTGTGTGCGAAGAAAGGCGGCGTTTAACAAGAGTTTAATAAAAGGCAAACAGCGGCGGGGTCGTCGGTTATCTTCGTCCTCGTTCCTCGATCATCTCTCTTTCCCTTCCTTTCCCCCTCCATTTCTCCTCGTTTCTCCTGTTACTCCCGATCGTTCATCCTTCTTCGTCTCTCGGGCTTCTCGTTTATCCTCGTCACGCCCGTTTAATTTCATCTCTTTCGCTCTCTGTCTCTTTCATGCTCGAAGGGATTATGTAGCCGGGCAAAACATGGGCTACAGAGAGAGAGAGGAGGGAGGAGGAAAGAAAGAGGGAGAGAGAGAGAGAGGAAGGAAGGACGAAAAGGAAAGTA